GTATTGATCAGGAAATAATACTATAGTGTAGATCAGAAAATAGTGTAATGTGGGCCCTTTCCCGTCCACCAACAAACCCCATTCACTTCCTGCTCTTTCACTTTTTTCTATTGTGGCTTTCCGTGGCCCTTATGAAAATCTTGGGGCCTACATTTCAGGGTTTATTGCTTCGATACATAACACATGGCAGATAAAGAAGCCTCTGTTCTCTGGAGTGTCCTCGGATGCTTGGTCTTGGCCCGTTTCCTGTCACTCTCCCCTCTCTCTGTCTTTACGTGGAACTGCTCGGTGACCTTTGATCCCAGCACATGGGCCTTATGAATGGTCTGTAATAACTGCGTGTGCACTCCCGAAGATTTGCGGTCAGCGTTGGAGGGTGAGTGAAAACATGTGTGGAGGAGTGGAGCTGATGAGGAGCACTCCAGGTCAGGGGCAGATCTGCAATGGAAAAGTTCAGATATAATCTTTAAAGGTTCTATATTACACAAAATTGACTCTAGTGAACTTTAAGCCATGTTATATTGTTGTCCTCTCCTCAAAAACACAGTGGAGCACTTTCTCTATTACCACCTGAAATCACTAATGTTTTCTGTTTGAGAGAAGAACTCAGCCTAATACGGAGAAAGGTGTGAATGAAACAACTCCAGGTATGTTTTTAATGAGGAAACAATATTATAACAGATCAGAAAATAGCGTAATATGGGCCCTTTAAAGGTGCATTGTGTGACTGTTCTGGTGAAGGTTGTGCCACCTGTTTGACTTCACGGAGATGTTATTGCTTTGCCTGAACCTTTGGGTTAGTGAGTGAGCACACTGCGGTAGGGCTGAATGATTTGGGAAAAATATCAAATTGGAATTTTTCAGACAAGCACTGAGATTAGATTTGCGTTTTTTGTTTTTCTAATAGGATCCTGTCCAAAGTTCACATTTTAAACGTGTCCAGAAGAGCTGACAAAACAACTGAAATATGAACAAATACAAGAATCACATTTCAGCACATGTTTGTACTGATCTAAACTATTGGGTTAACAGTTTTTATACAGAAAAAGACAGGATATACTCATATTAATGTTTGTGGAGGAAGAATAATACTTAAATTGCAGCTTTTGCAATTTTCTAACCATTCGACTAGTGATTTAAATTTGGGAGTGATTAATTGTAGTCTTACATAGCAGACTTGTGTTTACCTTTCACATCATGATATTTCCTCCTGTGCTTTGATCATACTCTATTTTTTGTCCCACTTGTTGGATTTGTTCTGTTTTGCTGCAGCTCTGCACAGTGAAAATATTTTTGTTGATTGTAATCTTTTTATCTTTCAAGCGTAAACAGCCTGAAGACAGTTGAACCACTTGAATTGACTGGCAGCCATTTTGTGAAGAATGCTCAAAGTCTAATCAAACAAGGCTCATTAACACAATGATTGCATAGTATTTCCAACATCATTGTACTAGCCCGCTGTTCAAAATGCTAATCACAAGGAGCTAATCAGAATGAGGACAAGCCACATATTTGGGTTTATTTTTGAGCGGAACATTTTGTGAGGATAAATGGGACTTCAGCACAACAATAGTGTAGCTAATTAGGCACGAGTTGTACTTGCCACGACAATAGACGATCTCTGCGTCTGTGTTGCTCGTGGGCTTGGCTTTAACACAGAATTGAACTGTTCCCTTCAAACTCTGGAACATCAACCAAATACAACTGATTTGAAATACATTTTAAAACTATTTTACTGGAGGTCACTGTTTAATTATGTTCGGAAAATATTCAAGTTTGCTAAATCAGCACTTGGTCAGGCAGAGTTGGGTGGGTGGACAAACCAACTGAAATATGAACTGAAATGACAGGTTCTCAGGCTCAGGTGTTTGGGTAGAGGTGGTTGAGGCAGAAGTGGTTGAGGTAGAGGTGGTTGGGGAAAAGAGTTGGGCTGGGCAGAGGTGGTTGAGGCAAAGGAGGTCGGGCACAAGTGGTTGGTAGAGAAGTCCTTTAGCACTTTGTCAGGCAGAGGCGGTTGGGCAGAGAAAGTTGGGGTAGAGGTGGATGGGATAGAGGAGGTAGGTATAGTGTTGGTTGGTTAGAGGAGGATGAGCACAGGTTGGGCAGAGGTGGTTTGGGTAGAGGATTTCGGGCAGAGATGATGAGACAGAGGTAGTTCAGGGAATATTTGGTTGGGGCAGATTGTGAAGTGGCAACAAGCACATTACCAGGTGTAATTACTCTGTAGTTGTAGCAGTATCTTTGCTCTGTGCAGTGACCATGGTCTTAAGGTGATTTTGGAGGATGCTGAGGGAGCAGGGCACTTTTCCCTGTAATCACTCCAGGCCAGCCTCAGAAGCCTGTTAGTGGCTCTAATTGAAAGGCAATTAAAGCTCGGGTTTCGTAGTACGGTGTCTGTTTCAGCTTTTAGTCAACCACAGATCGCTGCACAGAAAGGGGACACCCCCAGAGCGCTGCCGCCCAGAGCAGCCTGCAGCCTCCTCAAACCTCATGGACCTGACTGGGATCATCATTTAGTTTTGGTGTGTCTCGACATGGTGATTGTGTGTGATGTACTGTTGGACTAAGTCAGACGGCAGTTTTAACAGCTCCCCGAGGTGCCATGTCCTCTACACAGTTCACAGCATTCTCACCAAATGTACTGGTTAAACAGGGAGATAAAGGGGCAGCAAATATTTCTGTTCTACTGTTTTAAAGGAGCACTCTGTAACTTTTAGGCTAGGCATCCGTTACCTGCTTGTTTCTATGTATACGACATTGCTCAGCCTGGAATGTTCCACAATATGACAAATTAACTCTACTTTACATTTATTAAATTATATCTGACTTGTAACTTGGCCTGGTTTAGCCTCCAAGAAGATAGTAAGGTTTAATACCAAAATGTGAAACATTCACACAAAGTAATAACATCTCCATAGAGAAAAGCATTTGACTGACCCTCAACCAGGAAAGTTGCACAATGCACCTTTAATATCAGAAATAAATCAAAATTCTGTGTTTCATGTCAGAGTTGCTGTTTTTATCATTTGCTTCCATGTGTCATCACTTCATTCTTAAATCCCTACAATTAAAAAAGTAGCTGGAGGTCAGGTCTGAATGTTACGGTGGAGTTTACTTTTTACCTGAGACTGCAAATTTGTTGACCTGATTTATCACAAATATCTCTGTAATTATTGGGCTTATCCACGTGAAACAAAATCAGGCACAGACATTCAGTGTCTTCTCTGTCAGCATAAATAAGTAAAAGTGAATGAATTTCTTTCACAGTAGCTTCAGAAAGCAGTGCCATTATTCAACCCCTAAGATGTGTTTTGTCAGTTGAAAGGATTTTAAAGCATAAGATTAACACGGAAAATTTGTAGAGTCTTTTGAACATTTGTGGATGATAAGTATGAATATTTCTTTCAAAAACAGTAAATCAAAAATAAAGTCTAGAATGCAACCTATTGGTACTGTATGTTTAAACAATTTGAATAAATATAAGTTAATGAAAAAAAGTTGTGGTCGTCATTGTTTTCAGAATGTGATGGTGTCATACTCTCAGATGGGGGGGCAAAAGACAGAGACAGTTTTCCCTATTGTTTACATTGTACGTTGTCATGAAATATCCAAAAGGTAAATTCACAAATGTTTGACCTGATCATTCATACTAGTGACACTACCCAAGAACTCACTGAATTACAACACAAATCAGCATTTTAGAACTATACATTTTGCCTACCTCCATCTGTGTTTAATAATATTGGTCTATGGAATGTTATGATGTCATCTCCAGCCCGGCAATAAGAGAGTAACCATGATGGCTGTTGCTAATGGACCTCAGAGCTTACACTAAGTTATGATTCATTAATAAAATCCACACACATGTATAATCTGTTTATTGCTGTGACCTGCATTTGACACAGCTCTGAGCCCTCAGCCCCACCTCTCATCGATCAGTTTCTCACTCTACCCCTTGACTCCTTACATCCAGGGCCCCCCACAGTGGGTGAGCCGGGGGCCGTGGGTGCCAGAACAGAGGTTAAACTATGCTTGAAGAGGGACAAATCTGAAGTTAAAAAGTGCTAGTACATACAAGGCTGTATATCTTTGTTTATACTGGATACGGATATGGATATGGATATGGATATGGATATGGATATGGATATACAGGCTGTGAGACAAGAAGATTTTACTAACTTTATATATGTATGTATGTATTTATTTATGTATGTATGTATGTATATACGTATGTATGTATGCATTTATTTATTTATTTTTGGTAAAGTTCATCCTTTTAGTTCCTGGTTGGACACAGGGAGCAGATATGGCATATGTAGAGGTAATTCTATAACAGTTACCTGGCAACTATAATGTTAACAAAGGCACAATGAGCATAAGTCATGGTTATGATTAAACAAATAAAAATAGATGACAATATTTATTTTGTTAAAACAATGTTTAATTTGTCAGAAAGAGGGTTTCTATTTTACACAGATTGTAACCAATCAAACCAAGTAATAAAAGATGAAAACCTGTCATATCCATTTTAATGTCAGCCCAGATGTGTTGTTAAAATGTTGACAAAAAATCAACACCCGTCTTCAAATTGTTCATGTGGTCACAGGTTTGCTTTAGGCTGTAAACCGCTGTGCCCACCACCGAGCATCTGCGTGTGTCTAATTCAGTTACAGTAATGAGCTGTAAGGCAGTGGCACTGGAGTAATTAGTGCATCACACACTTCAGCAGAGCACTCACTGTGTGCATCCAACATGTGAACTGTACACTTCAATGTGCAGAATGAAGGAATGAACAGTGGGTGTGGACTTCAGTTTCCTAAAACAGGCTCTATCCAATATTTTCCCATGGTTGAGCAAGTTTTTTCCCCTTGTACAGATATATTTCATTATTATTTGGTATGAAATGAGATTGCTGTGTGCTATCTGCATCTGTTTATTATTTATTATTAACACTATTATGTTTAAACTGAAACAATATCCTGTCTTCTTTTGTATTTCAGATTCTGATTGGCTGCGATCTGTCTCCACTGTGATGAGTGACAGCAGCAGGTCTGTTCTGAGCTAACCCACTCAGATCTACACAGCCAGTGCTAACAGGACGAAGAGCACCCACCCAGGGCAGTGTCATGGCGCTGATGGGCAAACGCGGGGCTCGGGTTCTGCTCAGGGGCCTCCTCCTGCTGCTGGGGGTCACGAGTCTCTGCAGCATCACATCTGCAACTAGGAGAGGAGCCACGCTGGAACACAGAGCACACACACACAGACATCCAGGTCAGGACATCAGCGTGGAAAGCCATATTATCATCAAGAAGTGGCGCTCTCGAATCACAGCCGAACAAAAGCACTCTTAACAGTTCAAAAATGGAACTCAAGGTTTCTGACTCCTATTCACAGAGCGAGTTTAGCTCCATCAGGGTCACTGGCTGCCAGATAGTGGGTGTAGAATTTCTGTGGAGTTATCATATAGGACCAGGTTTAGGTGTCTGCTTTTAAGTTATTGATATAACTTGAATTGATTCTAAAAATAAAAAAAAAAAAAATAAATAAAAAAACAGGGATTAACTTGATGCACTGTGTATGTGTAATTTTCCAGGGGGAGGGTCCTCCGTTTGCTTGTCTCTGTGATGTTATTGCTTTGTCTGAAATATTCCATAGTGAGTCTTGAATTCATTTAATTAAAGTTGTATTTATTCTCCAAAAATATCCTGAAAAACATGAATTTCTACCGTGAGTGGGGTCACCTCTCCATAAATCTGACCTGTAACTTAGCTTGGTGATGTCACATGCCTATGGAAATGGCTATGTCTAATACCATATTGTGGCACATTCCAGGCAAATATTTCCATAGCGACAGTAATGAGTGAACCCTCCACCAGAAAAGTTAGATAAAGCTTAGATAAAGCTGGTTCCTTTTGGACAATGACAAAATAAAACTTGATACCTTATAAATCTAATACATAGTTATAATTTATCTGATTTATGGTTAATTTAAACATACCTAAAGTGTGATTTAGTTATACAAGTCTTGTAACATGTCTTTTGACTAATTATACATTATAGTCATGGTTTATCAATAATATACATTCAATCGACAATATAATTAAAAAGTTCCCTGCAGTAGCCTTTACAAGTCTGGTGATCATAGACCGACCTGCTCCTACCTGTCTGTGTCTCATCCTCCAGGTCGCAAATCCCTCCACAGACACCATCACCGCTCGGGGAAGGTGGGTCAGGTGCTGCACCGCTCCAAGCGAGGCTGGGTGTGGAACCAGTTCTTTGTGATTGAGGAGTACACCGGCCCAGACCCCGTCTTAGTGGGCAGGGTAAGTGTCAGTATGTCATAGTCAGGGGTGAGTATTGATACGTTGCAGTCACATCAATCTGGGGGTGTTCTACGTGTACCTATTGGCAGAATGTTGAACAGTTACCATGGTGGCACAATGCACACATTAGCAAGTCAGAAATGTTTTAATATAGTCTGAAAAGTCGAGAAAAAATACAAAGTGAATTTAAACAACACATTTTCAGGAGCCTATGATCAATATGAGCCTTCATGGTTCTGTTTAAGTGTTTGATTTTCAACAAAAATGTGACAGTATCTAACTGGAAAAAACTGCTAGCTAACTTGTTTTACATGTGAGTGTACAAATCATCTCACGTCATCTCTCAAGTTATAGTTCCAACTAAGTCAGCTCTTTCTGGTCAGATTGTGTTAAAATAAAGATCAGATTAAGTCTAATTTGCATAACAGAGCAGTGCTTTCAGTTAGCATCATACCCCCAGCCAATGTTGATGACATCGGCTGCAAAGTCTCAATATACTGTAAAGTGAAAAATAGCCAAATGTTACTACAAAAATATTCAAGTAAATATCAGTTGTTATTCAAATATGAGTTAAAAAAAAATGGCATTTGACTGAATGTGATGTTTGAGTGAGTGATTGGTGGCAGTTGGAGGGGCTGTTAGCGCAGATTGGCAGTTTTGCTTCTGTTAGTCTGCCACAGGGTGGCTGTGGCTACAGAAGTAGATTACAACCACTGTACAGTGCTTTAGGTGTTTGGAATGGAGCTAGATAAATCCAATGAAGTATTAGTATTATTTAAAAAGGACGCCAGGCTCGCTACATCTTGGAAGTAGCTACCAGCTGCTCTTTGGGAAAGTGGGTACAATAGCAGTTCATGATTTATTGTTATTATTAAATATAAGCTTAAAATTTCTAGTCCCAACAGAAAGTATAAATATATACCGGTAATTGTTGGTTAACCAAAAACACACTCCCTCTAATATTTTGCATGCAGTGCACTTAAGTAAAAGTACTGTTATCCAGTATCAAGTACAGTTGAATTAATGGTAGAACTATCTAAGTGCAGTCTATTCTAAAAAGTTCCCCAAGTAAACATACCTATTTATAACTCTCGACTTCTGTAAATGAATGAAATGATGAATCCATGAATTTCTCTCTACAGCTCCACTCAGACGTGGACTCGGGTGACGGAAATATCAAATACATTCTGTCAGGAGAAGGGGCTGGCACCATCTTTGTCATTGATGATAAAACGGGCAACATCCACGCCACCAAGACGCTGGACCGAGAGGAGCAGGCTCAGTACACACTCACAGCTCAGGCCGTTGCCCGGGACACCAACAAACCCCTAGAGCCTCCCTCTGAATTCATTGTCAAAGTGCAAGACATCAATGACAACCCCCCTGAATTCCTGCACGGACCCTACTATGCCAGTGTGCCAGAGATGTCCAATGTTGGTAAGTATGAAACACAACTGAACCCGAATGCCTTTAGCTGGTATGTACTGAGGACATTTGTGGGTTTGAAAACTGGTTTTAGTCATAGAATCTGGAAATCCAAACTATGGAGCTCATTCTGCATTTTTTTGATAATTAGCCTATATTACACCAAATTGACTCTTGTGAGCTTTAAGCCGTGTTAGAATGCTGTTACCTGATTTTAAAAAAACTGCTGTTTTGTTTCACTCACATATGTTTGAGTAACCCTGCATGCTTAGTCTGTCTACATCTCTAAAGCTCAAAAAGCTCTGTTCCACCTTGTGATGTTATTAAGTGGTTGTTTTCAAGTTAACAGCTACAATTTACTTTTTTTAGTAGAGATTGGCAATTCCAGGGCTCATTGAAACAATTATAGGAATGGTGTATGGAGTTTGCAGTGGAGCTCTTCCTGTATTACCACATGACATCAATTTGGAACAGAAGAGTTTTCAGAATCTGTGTGTGTGATGGCAACAAAACAAAATACGCTCCAGGTATGTTTTTGGTGAGGAAACAACATTATAGCATAGATTAGAAAATAGTGTAATGTGGCCCTTTAAAGCTTTCCTGACTTTGAAATGTTATGAATTTAATACATTGTCAGTTCAACACAAAATACCAAGAACCATTTTAAGTCTTAGTATTTGAACTTGCTCGATTACATCCACATACCAGAGCAGACTTTCCACAAGTGGTTTCATAGACACAGATTTCTGTTTAAACGCGGTTGAAGTCTTTTTCCACACTCAGAGATTTGACATTTCTATAAACCTTTGGAAAGAGTGGAAACTAAATTGCTGGAACCCGTGCAAAGTCACGTAGCTGCTGTATTTGAGTTTGGCTGAAGCCGCTCTCCACTGGGCCCTCTCACTCTCTCTTAGATGTGAGGTGGAGGAGGCGAGGACCGGCCCCTGAAGGCTGACCTCACATTCTGCTCCACTCTCACTGTGAGAAATCCCGACAGTGAGTGGAGACATCTTTAAAGAGTAGATCTGTCAGAGCACTGGTGTTTAGGTCCATTCACACTCTTCCTGTGAAGTTTGTGCAATTCAACTCTCTATAGTCCACTGCAATTCTATGTACACAGCCTCGCTCCTCTCTGCTGAAGACGAGTTTCATCCATGTAGAAATTTGGCATCTTATTAGAAAATGTAATCAAAGAAATTCAAATTAACATGGCAAACATGGCTGAAAACATTTGATTGGAGATATTATATTACATTATAACAGTGCTCCCTCATTATTAGCCTACTCTAAGTTTTATTTCAATTGATTCATGAATGTTTCAGTAATTGTTTTGTTCTCATTTTAAGAGTCGCTTTTACTCTCTGGCTTTTAACACCGTGTGAGTGTTAGTGGTCTTTTATTGTTTTGTTCTGTTGATTTTATTTATTTTTTCCTTATTCACAGTTTAATTTATTAGTTTTTACTCTGTTGTTTTCATTATGTTTTTATTGTATTATATTGTATTTTTTAAAATTCTCTATGAGCAGCACATTTTGTTTATAAAATGTACTACAGAAATAAAGCGGATTGGCTTTAAGGCATGAGAACCTTTATCTCCACCCACAGTTCAATACTTACTTATGATTATTCAGAAAATGCAGTCTCTGGGTCATATGTGATAAAAATGGGATATGATATAAAAATGTCACTTACAAATAAAAAATGAAGAGGTGTCAGTCCTGTAGTTTTGAATATGTCAGTGGCCTTTTTCTGTCATTAATGCATTTTAGATCAATATCAATCAATACAATATGTCTTCATAACACATCTAATATGTCATTGTTGTGTGTTTGGTGTAGGCACGTCAGTGATGCAGGTGACAGCCACAGACGCAGATGACCCCACGTATGGGAACAGTGCTCGTCTGGTCTACAGCATCCTCCAGGGGCAGCCATACTTCTCTGTGGAGTCTCAGACTGGTCAGTACCACACCACCCATCACACAACTAATCCAAACGTTCAACTTGCCTGACCAGCCAGACCCTTCAACATTCCGTTCGAATCCAGGAGAGACTGAAATCAGACTATGAAACGTGAAAAATCTCCGCCCAACCTTGAAGAGATCCAACCACAGACCCGAATTGTGTCTCTCAACTGCAGAAAACAACTCCTCTCCAAAATTCTCGTAACATCCAGAACAAAATGTATAACTTCTTTTACCTAAAATAAGTCATAGTTTGGTGTTTTGATTGTTGATTCTGTAAAAATTCATGATGTTTCTCAGTGTTTTTTTTTGTTTTGTTTTGTTTTTTATGAGTAAGCAGCCATGTTTGTTTCTGACACAGCATGCGTTTTCTCTGATTAATTATTGTCAATCACACCCTGTCAAATCAGGGAGAGCCACTCATGTTTGTAAAGTTTTTTTCAAAGAGTGTGGTTCCAGCTGACCCAATAAGCGTTCAACCCTCATCCCCACAACTACAACTACACCCTCTCAGATATAACTTTGACCATCCCAATTTCAGCTTGGATGACACTGAATCTTTTCACTTAGCACGGTCTGTCTCAAAGATAAATTCGAGCTGACACAGTTACATAAGTACGTGTGGCCCAGATCTTTGTGTTTTTGTTTCCCAACTGTATTTGAATGCACCACTGAAAATTCCATTATAAGAACTTATTTGTTTCCCAGATATGGAAATGGAAACAAACTTTATTGATAGAATATTCCTTAGCCACAATAACTGAATTATGATAATAGCATAATAGAATAAGATATAATAGAATAATTAAAAGACAAACAGAACAAATAAAATAACAAGGAAAAATAGGGACTATTGTACAACATATGTGTCATATTTTGCCCCCTACTTGTTTCTGCAGAAAATCCTGTAATGTTCCACAGTATGGCATTAAATATATCAAAGTATTTGTTCTATTACTGGTGTTTGATGCTCTGAAATACCTTGAAAAACATGTATTCTTACTATGAGCACGGTCGCCTCTCTACAGATCTAACCTGTGACATGGCCTGGAGGTGCTACCAGCCTTAATTGTGATAGATAGGTTTAATGCTATACTGTGGAACATTCGGGGCAAAGCGATAACAAGAGAAAAGCACACCAGAAACGTTGCATATTGCACCTTTAAACCTTGATTTATTTCCTGAAGAATGTGCTTATCAGAATCTATAAACGCGATGCATACTTTGGCTGGACTCTGACAGTTTTGACTGTGCTGGATTGTCAGCTGGAGTCAGTTAGTAGCCCTCAGAGGACCCCATCAGGGCTCACAAGCTTAAACACAACAGAGAGGAGAGTGAGAGGAGGGCATGCATCTGTCCAGCCAGAGGAGCGTGGCCAGGCTTAGGGCAATTCATGAACAGAGAGGCGTTGGAGAGAGGCTGCACTGTGGTAAATCTGCCTAATCAAAGGACCCTGGCTCAAATCCACCGCTCACATTTCTAATTGGTTTGGAGATTATCAGCTTTTCATGCTGTCACACACACATATACACAGGGCCTCAGCTCGGCACAGACTGGCCAGGGAGATGGGGAGCACACACAGAGATTAGAAAGACGGAGATGGAAAAACATTGAGTGTAACTGCAGCAGCCATCAGTCAAAGGAAGACTGCTCCAGAACACTGACCTCTGAGGAACTTAACATGCACAAAACCATATGTGTTTCATATGGGATTAGTATCACTGTCTCTTTTGTGAAATGGTACAATATGAGCTTGTATTAGGGTTACTGTATTAGTGAACAAGGAACCAGTAGCAATAAAAAGATAAAATCTTGTGGTGGAAGAATTATGTTTTTTTTTTTGATTGGATAATCGTTTTGAGAATCAAATGACAACTTGGTCATCATGTCCAATGTTTTTGCAATCAAAGCCCCATTGTGAACGTTTTTGGACAAAATTAAAACTTTTTTTAGGATTTTGGATGGAATCATGCAAATGACATATCGTCTTCAGAAAGTTACACAGTGTTGCTTTACTATTTTTTTTAGCTTTACATTTTCCATGCTCAATTTTAAGGCACATATAGCTACACATTAGCTATATTTTTTAAAGGACTATTTTAGTCATGGTTTAAAAGCTGCAGGATGACATTTGGTTTAAGGCCAATTAAGTTTAACCTCTGGCATTTTAGTACCATCATATGATATTAATTTTACATTTTACCTAAAGGGCGGTTATGCACATTTTTATTAGTTTTATTACAAATGTCTACATGACCTATCTCTGTCCCCAGATACAAGGTAAACACATTCACATCAAATATTGCTTTTACTGATAACGTGTAATGTTGATTTATTCCTAAGTAACCATTGCAGATTCTATCACATACAATAAGTGCCCAGAGTGATAACAGAACAGTCCCTAATGGTTATCCGTGCCTGTTGTGTCTCTGAAGGCATCATCCGGACAGCATTACCCAACATGGACCGGGAGGCGCGTCAGGAGTACGACGTGGTGATCCAGGCCAAGGACATGGGCGGCCACATGGGGGGGCTCTCTGGGACCACTGAGGTCAAGATCACCCTGACAGACGTGAATGACAACCCACCCAAGTTCCCCCAGAGTGAGTCCTGTGTGGTGCTTTAAGTTTTATTTGAAATCGTTGAAGTTTGTCCAAGGCGTGCACAGAAACACCACTGAGAATTTTCTTAAATGTTTCTATCGGAAAACTCATAAAACGTATGGATTTGTTTTTACGGCAGATTTAAGTCCATCAATAACTCACAATTATTCATGTTGTTTGGGAGATAGGAAAATATTCTGACTTTTACAAAACCGTTTCAGAGAACAGCCACCTGCACAGTTCCAGATGGTGAACCGGGACAGAGATGACTTATTCAGGAGGGGTGGGAGGGATCGGAGGGGGCACAGAATGCAGAGTGCACCCATAAGACTGTACTGAGGTCAGGTTTAGGGATCAGGCTCCATGGTGTAGACTGGAAACAGCAGAAATAGACATAAACTTTAAGAAATAAAATATCTATTTTGAGACATTATGTCATATTATTAAAATATAAGTTTTGGTTGTCAATAGTAGGTAGGAATTAATGTGTTCAAACTATGTGTTCAAACAAAGTCTTATGCCAGTGTTTACATGGCTGAGGACATGAAATCCAAGTGTTTAACAACATTACAACAGTGCTGGATCACAGTCTCTGATCCTGGACATAGTCTCTGATGTCTCTGTGTGCGTTGGCCTGGGGCAGGTATGGCAGCAGCTGGTGTCCTCCCTGTGTTCCTTCTGCGTTCAGCTGCCACAGTCATTGAGGGAAAGCCTCTGAAATGAGAGAGAGCACAGGACAGACAGGCGTGAGGGCAGTGGGGGGGCAGCGGGGGGCAGGCTAGAGCTCCAACATGCTGCGGGAGGGGCACACGGCATATGGAACCAGGGCTTCAGCGGCAAATAACACAGACATTTCAGGTGAACAAATGAAAAGCTGAATCCAAGTAGAGTTGATGAAATTCATAGGAGGGAGGGCTACAGCAGATATAAAAATAGTTGATGGGTAAAGACACGGAGGAGCGAATGTGATGCAAGAGCAATGAATGTATTGGGATGGTGGATGAAATCCCACAATCCCTTGCACCAGCGCCGGGGGCCACACGACCAATTGAATTTCATGACTTACAGGATTGCCACACCTGGAGCAGGCGGATACTGGCGGAAGCGCAGCAGCAGAATGATGAGGGCACAGTGGGGCCTCCCTCACACATTAAACATTAGAACTGCACACAGAGCTGCCCAGGTCCTGGACCCACACTTCTGTTAACACTGTTACTGTTAACACTCTGTTAATATGTGATACATAATATAGGAACAGTTGAGGTTTCTCCTCTCTCACCAAACATACTGACCATTGACATTCCAAATGAAATCCAAGCACAGTAGAGTTTATTGAAAATATGCTGCATACAGCATATAAATATGTATTTATTTAAAATAAGAGATTACTAATTCATTTGAGTTTTGCAGAACCTATCATATGACATTTGGGTTCTTCTTCTACAGCGAGGTGTGCAATTTTGTTTTTGCAGAATTTTGTTTCTTTGATGAAAGATCTCATGGCTCAAAACCATGGGTCGTAGATTTCACAGTGAGACAGGGACAAAGATCAAACCAAGAACCATCGTCAACCAAAAAGTCTGATATCTGATAATATCTGATATCAAGCATGTCTATTATTTTGTAGTCTTGGCCACAGAGTAGGCCCTACTCTCAATTGGTCTATGATCAAGCTCTGTCAAACATTTGACCAACAGGCAACACCAACGCTTGAGAGGAACAGCTGAAGAGCGCAAGCAACAGGACCCTCTCTCTCCATTTCCCTTTCATTTATTAATTTTTTCAAAAGTCTAAACAACGCTAGCATGCACAGCTGGCTTCTGTTAACCAATACAGCTTTGGTGACTGCCCACAAGTGAACGATCATAAGTCTTATACGTCCCATATAAATGGCATTAAAGTGGCCAGTTCCTTAAAATGTGGGCACCTCAGATCTGGTTCACTATCTGCCTCTTCTTTCATTCACACACTTTCTCTGAGATAGTTTGTCTCTTTCATCTGTCTCTCAGAATCCATGAAATGTGACACGTACATCCAGCTTATGGCTCAGAAGCTATTTTCCTCTGGCTGTAGCCATCACTGTGACAGAGAGAGGAGAAGAGAGAGAGAATGCAGTCAGGCTGCGGTCAGGGTCTGGGTGCTAAACGGCTAAAGACAGATGTGCACAGAGAAGCACCGGAGGCTGGGGGTGTGGAGGTTTGGGGGGAGAAGGGAAGGGGGCAAGGTAAGAGGTGGACATATGGTTCTGGTGCTCCAATTCTGAGCCAGGTGCCCTCCCAACACACACACAAACACATACACACACACACTCATGCACACATACGCACACCTGACACAGTATTAATATCCTGCGGGCCTGCTCTCTCTCCTCTGGGCTGCCTCTCACAGATGGTAGGCTTCATGTTAATCTGCTGTGCCCTCCCACAGTGACCCGGGCCTCGAATAAAGAGCATGGCAGTCGGCCAGCACTCCTCTAAAGGCTGATAAAAGTGTTCAACACAGCAATGACCACAAACAAACTAACTGTCTGTGTCCACCAGGTGTGTACCAAATGTCTGTCTCTGAGGACCGCGTGCCAGGGGAGGAAGTGGGTCGAATCAAGGCTAAAGATCCCGACCTGGGAGACAACGGCCTGGTGACGTACAGCCTGCTGGACGGGGACGGGCTGGGCGTGTTCGAGCTGTCCACTGACTCCGAGACCAGGGAAGCGGTCATCAAGCTCAAGAAGGTAAGTTGCTCCTCTCTGTGTTACTGGGGCTTTTGTGTGCTTTGTAATCTACTCTTTTTTTACTGGCTCTCCAGTTATTGGCTGAAATTTAAAATTGAATAGTATGGCCTAGAGGTTGTAACACATTAGGATCATAAACTGTTCAACCATAGTTAGTTATAATCAGAGACTGTTGAATAGTCACAGAACTATCCATGTCCCACACAGACACTCTCTTCCTCACACACACCCACACACGCAATCTCTCCCTCAAACACACACACTTACACACACACACATACACATACACACACACACACACACACATGCATAATTCAGGGCCATGCTGAAAGCATTGACTTAAGCATAAAACGTGCTCTTGTTGTGTGTTTTTCCTCCTGTGTTTGCCGTGTTTCTTCCTAAATTGGCAGTCTCTTGGTGCTAGCATATAATTAGCATAGAGCCTTGGCCCATTCGAGCAGCCAAGCAGGACCACAGAGTGCCTCTCTCCACAGCTCAAACAGGCAGGCGCCATGGAAAATGTCACCTCACAATCTTTATTTTGTGACATTAGGAGCTTTATGGGCGTGACGATGCACAAGGTCGCTGTTAATCCTGGAGTTAAAGACAGAGGGGAGAGGCTCAGAGCTGAGGGCCAAAGGGTGTCCACAGCTACCAACCATGGGGACACAAAAACAATAGCTTTTCTTTATTATAATGGTTTAAATCAGGCTTGTCCAAACTACAGCCAAGGGGTCAAATGCGGCCCTTAGATAAATTGTTCTTGGCCCTCTGGCTTCCAGGTGAATTACTTTATGCAGAACTTTTTACTGCAAGTTTTTGTTTTTTAAAAGTGTACCTTGATAAAGCCAATATTAAATATTTAGCTTGTGCTTTTGAGGATCTAAGCTTGAAGTAAGCTCTGGTGGCTCATTCTAATATGTAAAAATGCACATATTTCTATTATTCACTGTAGTGAGCACCAGTCTGTGGCCCGCACTTGGCCCTCTGCTTCGTCAGAGTTTTGATATGTGGCCTTTGATGAAAAAAGTTTGGACACTCGTGCTTTAAATAGAGGAAAAATATTCAAAATTCTTAATTCCATAGCACTCAGTAACCAATAAAATACATGTTTACAAAAGGAGTAATCAAATTCACATTCTTTAGAATACACCAGGTTGACCATATAGATCATGGCATATCTGATGAATAGTGAGTGAGAAAGGAGACAGTTTAAAGAAATGTTTGAAGCATGTGAGTTCAGGGATGGTACGTCTGCTCCTGTTATGGCAAATAAAATTACCTGTAAGAAGATTTTTAAAAGAGGAGATCAACATTTATGAAGTATTTGTGAAAATTGTGATGTGTGCCTATGTGGTGAGATGTCTTTGAGTGTGTGGGAAAAGCTCTTTCTTGATGACAGAGTATTTTCTGGAGTAGGGCTAGACCAGAGCCGAGTGTTCAGTAAGGGGGTGGAGGATGAGTTCGTCTATCTTCACTAAGGTTTCCCACACCACCAGACTTACTTTATGAGAGTGTGCACACCGAAGTTGGTCTGTGACAGCTGAGAGAACATTATAATAACTAGGAAGTCCATGTAATTCTGTAACTCTAAGAAATAACTGCATTTGACCAGATCAAGTATGGCTCAAGCATAGGTCAGTTGAGATGTTTGTCAGACCAGGTGTAGAAGACCATGTCCCAGTTCTGTCTTTGAGTCTACAGCTGTCAATCACCTACTGACAATAGAGAACCTCTAGAAATAACTTGCCCCTCTCCTGTCAATGGGTGGGATTAGCTGCAAATGGAATCAGTCAGTGAAGGAGACATGGTGTAGATTAGATGTAGACACTAGAGTATGTACATAGGGATTACCTCACCACACTTAACACTGGGGCCCAGGATGTATGGGCTCCGGGTGGGAAAAGTGAACTTGCCTGTGTGCAAACAGTCTAACTCTCAACATCTGAACAGGCTGAAATCCATCTGAATCATAGACAATATAAAGTTATATAAAGTTATAGTAGTTATAGTCGCCAGATTCATATTAGAGATAGGAATTTATTTACAAAAATAACAAAATTAAAACACCAGGATCCTGTAGAGCGGGTTAATATGAACATTTTAAGACCAAAATAACAAGGCTCATAGCAGCATTTAGACAGAGGGGGTGACAGTTTTTCAATGTAAAGTCAATTGGAAACAGTCAGTGAAGTCAGAAGCACCCCCATGAACACTTCTGATATGGAATGTGGTGGCTAGAAGGTTAGCTGTGTCCATTTATGTATACAGTCTATGATCTGAATGTGCATGTTTGTAAAGGGCTATATAAACCCCACATGTTCAGTACACAGTGGTTTTCTGACAGCATACTTGAGTAATATTTCATTTGAAGTAACTTTGATATAAGTAAATAGTTTCATTACTCTTTCCATTGTGATTGACTCAGTTTTCAAGTAGTAGTTTCTCAAAATATGTTTAGTCTTAAATGAGTAAAATCACTATTATTTATATTTACTTTCTTGTAAGTAATACATTAATAAAATATGTAAATAAGTAAGTAAGTAAGTAAAAAAAAAAAAAAAAAAAAAAGTAAGGTTCCTTGACGCCAAAATTCTGCTGACCTTTGGTAAAGTAAATCATATTAGAGAGTGTGTAGCCCAAGTGTAGAACAAAGTGAATGAGTGCAGCACGACTCATGGCTCAGGGCTCAGCTCACAGACTCAGAAGGGCTGTAGTAGTAGCAGCTGATAAACAAAGCTGGATCTCCATTCTCCCTCTCTGCTCCACAAACACACTCACGGGAGCGCCTTTAATCTGCTATTCTCTTTCAACTGTGTCCTGATGAACACGCTCCAGAATATTAAAGAGGGGGGGTGTCGGACATTAGCCCAGTCTCATTACGTACAGATGGGAGGAAGAATGATGCGTTCACTGTCAGAGGACACAAAGTATCAGCAGCAGACTGGAGCAACCTCACTGTGAACTGGAACTGTGCAGCTAAAGACATAACAAGATGATAACATGAAATCCTAACCATGTTGGAAATATACTCCTAGATGGTTGTGCTTTGTAGTTTAAATATTTATTGACTAGATTGTAGAATGTAGAAGGATGAAAAGGTGAACATACTTGCACCGGATTTCAGTGTTACTCCAACTTGTTAATACAAGATTGGAAACTGTCTTTTTTATGCACGACTCCAAGTATGTCCCTATGCATAATTTGAAATACAATAAGAGTTTTCTTCATTCGGGGAAGTCAACGGAAGAGCTTGTTTATGAGTCTGCCAATAGCACACTCTCATTCAGTTCGTTTTTTGCTTTGTTTTTTCAAGCTCAAGCGCCTCGGCATAAAGAGATGTATTTCTTGCACTAACAGCCGTGGCAGAAGCAAGAGGAAGTTGAGTTGCAGCCAAGTGCTGTTGTCAACACCAGCCTCATAATCAAAGCCGAGCGTCTCTGGAGCATTCAGCCCTTCGCACAATAAGCTCCTCCTTCAGGACGGACAATAGGATTAGGCAGTGAGACTCAGGCAATAGGTTGTGAACGAGAACGCCGGCCTTCTATGACAGACCCATCTCTGAAGAAACCACTGCACATTACTGCGATCATCGGCCAATATAGATCAGTATACAACTTCATTAAGAAAGCAAAGAATCCATAAATGCATTAGCCAAAGCACATTTTTAAGAAGCTTTTTAAGAAGCTAAACAAAAGGGCCATGGAACAATTCTGTTAACTGCTGGGTCACTTGTAAATAAATAAATCACATTAAAGACAGTAACAATCAGAAAGTAATTAGATAGTATCTTAAAATGACCATAGAATTTCAGCATGTAAATATAATACTATGGTTTATGTTACGTGATATTACAGCATTCTAAGGTAAGGTGAGGTAAGGTGACATTTTGAGGAATTTCCAGATTTGTAAAGATACAACAATTTATTTTAATTTGTCATTTGCTATGGCAAGGCCCCTATTTGTTACTATAGTGAAACCCATTGATAACATACAATTGAGCAAGAGAGCAAGCCGGAATCTATTATCCTTAAGAATTTTGCACTTTTCTCTTCATATTTGAACATACAGCAGGAGTGTTTTTTTTTACATAGATGACAGAATTTTAAGACACAAGAATAATATAGTAGACTACAGACTCAGCTCCAACTCAGTTAACGAAGCAGTTCAACATTTATGGGGTTTTTAATTATAAATAAAAATACCTCTTCCTTATAGTTAAACTGGTCCCTGCTTTCCATCTGAAATGTATAAACACATTTCTAGCACATGTAAACAATTATAGCATGGAACTGCTCAGATATGCTGTAGTGAATCAGCTGAATGTCACACACACCCCATCTCCCTCAGAGCGCATTGTAAGATTTGTCTTTTTTCCCCATCAAATCATCTTCTAGTACTGTGTAGAGCTGTGGGCTTCTGACTGAAATCACCAGCTTTGGTTTTTCCCTCCATGCCACTGTTCTCTCATATAATGCTCCAATAGACTCACTGTTCACTTGTGTTTGCCGCCTTCCTCTGGTTCTCCATGAGCCGTAATGACACACTAGTTGGTCTGCTGCTGGTAATGTCAGTCTCACTCGTGTAGCAAAAGCTCCCCCTAGCAGTGCATCGGTGTATTGCACTGTTTAAAAAATGAGTGTTTTTGCACATTCAGATGACTCTGGGAGATGTTTGTTTACTGTCATTGTTTTTGGGAGTGAAATGGAGACGTGACCCACTATGCCCTCTTTTTCTGTCTCTCTCTCTCTTTTCTCTTTCTGTCTTCTGTCTCTCTCTTTCTCTGTGTCAGCACGTGGACTATGAGACCAAGAAGATGTACACACTCAAAGTGGAGGGATCGAACCCATATTTGGACCCTCGTTTCATGTCCTGGGGCCCCTACAAGGATGAAGCCACAATAAAGGTCAGTATGCACAGGGGAATGAATGTATTCTTACTGCCAGTACTTTTTAGGAAACCAGAAAATGTGTGTTCAGACATTAGACATCAGCAAATCCTTGAATTAATTAATACTTAAAAACTAGAGGCATTGCTCTGTCTGAAGCTTTGTCTTTAATCTGAGCTGATCTGACCATAAATAACATTACAGTGACAAGCTACTCCTACATTTCGGTTGAAAATCAAACACCTAACAGGACCCTGAATACTCTTGATCACAGGCTCATGGAAATGTGTTGTTAAATCTTTTTTTCTAGACAATCTAAAAACTTATCAGGCTCAGATGTTGCATTTTGTCACTAGACATACATGCATTGTTCACTAGGGGTGTTCTACATGTGTCTCTAATGGTGGAATGTTTAGGAGTTACCATGCTGACACAATGCACAAACAAACACTGTCAAAAAAGTTTAAAGACCATCTGAAAACTCAAGAAAAAAAATGTAAATGTATTTTTTAAAAAAACAAAATTTCAAAGCCTGTGATCAATACAAGCACTTATGGTCCTGGTTTGAAGTTTGATAACAACAAAAATGGTGAGTGTTCGCTAATGCTAGCCGGCCAGTGAGAGACTTGTTTAACAACACAAATAAGCTCACCTGTTGTAACTCCAGCTAAATCAGTTTTTATGGTCAGATTGTGTTAAAATAAAGCACAGATTGAAGTCTAACAAAGCCTCAGACAGAGCATGTTTACGGTTAGCATCACACCCTCAAGGAATGATGATGACATCAGTGGGAAAGTATCAATAAGCAACTAATAGTTTATAACAATTAATAACAGTCACTGTACTGTATTCATTTTTGTGAGTACATTTGATTCAGCTCTTGTTAACCCCTGTGTCTGTGTGTGGTTCAGATCTCAGTGGAGGATGAGGATGAGCCTCCCGTGTTTATAGCCCCCAGTTACACATTCGAGGTGGAGGAGAATGCACCAGAGGGCACCATGGTGGGACTAGTTCATGCCAAGGACACCGATGTGGCTAACAACCCAGTTAGGTAAGTGTTCGCAGCCAAGAAGCACATGTGTACAGACATTTTTGTGAAAAATTTACAGTGGGTACTTTTACATTATCATTATATTTTGGAGAAGGTCTTTGTATACATTCTCATACTACATTTCTGAACTGGTTTGAAGTAATGTCTGATTAGAAACAACAGAAACATTTTTAAAAAGTGGTCTCTTGACCTGGTTTAAAATGTCTGCACAATTCTTCACCATACCCCACATTTAGCTCATTTTTATTTTAAGCACATTTCAGATGCTCTCAAGAATCAAAAATACTAGTCCTTTATTAACTATGAAATTAAGAAAGCCCCACACAGCCAAACATGATATTTGTGTTGCTAGGAGCATGTAGAGTCTTGGGTCTTTCTTCTCTTATATTTAAAAATTACTTGGCTACTTAGGCGATGACGCACTGCTGTCATGATGAATCAAGAGGATGGATTCCTATGTTGCTATGTTTGTTTCATTGTTGCTGCTGCCAAATTTCGTTCAAGATCAATAAAGTATCTATCTGTCTATCTGTTGGTGAGTCTAAGGGTTTTTGTCCTACAGGTACATGATCCCTCGCTACACCGATGTGGAGCAGTTCTTCAGCATCAACTCAGAGGACGGCAGGATCACCACCACCAGACCCCTGGACCGAGAAACGCAGGCCTGGCATAACATCTCTGTGTCCGCCACTGAGATAGGTGTGTGTTTAATGCTAATCTGGTTTCCCTTTTTTTGACCAATTTGATACCCACCAACAGTGAAGGAGGGAATATATTGTCATTTGTTTAGCTAAAATACAGAAAATCATGCCTGAAAATGACCACAGTGCAAAAAGCCCCCATATTACATATATACTGGCCCACAAGTGAGTCAAGAATGGACAATGTCACACGCTCTTTTATACCAACCTTTTCAACACGGCTGTGTCTTGAAAATCTGGTCACTTTAAATTTGACTGAAACATTTTATGTGATTGTTGTAGAATATTACAGTTAGTTTATGATGAAAATAAACAGGAAATAGCAGTGAAGCTTTTGTAGATTTTGAATGATTATTTTGAGAACTGTGAAGAACAGACACACAAAACATCTGAAATGTGCCAGAGAACACCCACAACCACACGATATGGGTAGGGGCACAAGAAAGGGGTAGCATTCAGAAACAAGGAGTTGAATACTTACACTAAGGAAAATTCACAGCATAAGAGTAGTGTTAAAAGTTGTGATATATTACCTAGATGTTATCTGACACAGTGACAGTCCAACAACTCTCAGAGACCCTGGGGTTGCACAGTTTTGGCCAAAACACAAATTTTATAACTTATATTGAAAGTTATGTTTAAAAAATAAGATCACATTGTAAAAAACTAAAAACAAGATTGACATTTAGGAGAAGACTGAAATATGAACTGATACAATACAAGAATCACATGCATTTCAGAGCACGTTTGTAGAGGGCTAAAGGTACAGTAAGATTTGTCTATATAAAAATGACATATCTTACTTTTCATAATTGCACCAGCGCAAACTGAGATTTTAAGTTGATTTTGATGTATTGTACAGCCCTATTATATATTACCCACTATCCCCAAACTGGCCCCTCTTCCTGGCTCCTGTGGCCCCTCTTCCCGGCCCCCTTCTTTGGCCCCACCCTGCAGTCCTGTGGTGGGACTGGAGCGCCATGTGGTTTCCTTGTGGCATGTGCGACGCCAGCAACCAGATGGAACTCGGCTAACCGCCCACAGAGCACTGACCACGGCAGGCTATGCTAACCGCCAACAGGCCTGGGAAGCTAAATACTGCACTGGTAATGACAGGGCCGAGCAGAGGCTGGAGCGAGTAACATCACAAATATGCAGGCGGATCATGTGAAAATATATGTTTGACTGCAGTTAAAGGTTTTTACTTTTCAAATTAGTGTTTTCTGTGAAGACTGCAGTGAATTGAAAGCATAGTCTTACTCCCTTATATTTAAACACATATAACAACATTGCTCTGTTAGGTTAAGTACAGACTGTGTTTAGTGAAGGAAGGATTTTATTTTCAGAGATGTTGTGCATTATTTCACTCAAAACCTTTCCTCTTCTAACCCCATAAAGAAGTGGACTAAGGCAGTGTGACATCACCCATAGCGTTCAGCTCCAGTCAAATGAAGTTATGGGGCAAATTTGGACCAAAATGAGGAGACTTGTCGTATAGTTACAGAGCGGGAGGACAGTTTTTCAATTTAAAGTCAACTGGAGCCAGAGTCGTTGGAGCCAGAAATGGCCCATGCTCACTTCCTGTTTGAAACGGGGTAGCTAGTGGATTAGCTATGTCCATTTATATACACAATCTATGTTTAACCCTCATCCCTGTCCTTGTATATAGGAGGCCACCATCAGGACACAAAAGTTCGTGTCAATATCAAAGTCAAAGACATGAATGACAACCCCCCTGAGTTTGCAACCAACAACGAAGTGCTGATGTGTGACACTGTGGCTCCAGGGAAGGTAAGGCCATGGAGGAATGTTCAACTAGTTTTTTAAGAGCTATAAATGTAAGGTTTAAATTTGGGTCAGTTTATTTATGTGAAAAATATCCCTCAAGACCTACAGCTGTGGAACGCTGTCATATATTGGGCTATAATGGTGATGGGTGAAGCACTGTTTACTGTATTCATTCATAAGCAAGGATGATGTTAAAGACACTGTATTTGTACACTGTACTTTGTACTTGTCTCATAACATGAAAAACAGTTAATTTCAAACATTTTTAGTGGTCCAAAGTTATTCCTCACTTACCTTATGTATCCAGAGCATGCCAGTTATTCACCAGGATGAGTTTATAAATGCTTTTCACAACAAGAGAACAGAACGAAGTTGCTGTCACTAATAACTGATAACTAAACTAATAACTGACAAGAAAACACTTTATAATTAGATGCAAACAATGCACAATTAATTTATTTAGATCTCAAGGGCTGCATATACAACATATCTGTACTGGGGCAAGACAAAGGTTGATCAAATACATGGGAAAAAGTGGATAAAGGCCCTAAACTATTATATGAGATGAGATTATATGATATGATATTGTATCGTATTATATTATATTATTCTATGAATCTGTGTTATTAAAGTCAAAGATAATGTATATGAAGATTTGAAGGTTTGAGTGCTTTTGTTTGCGTTCAGGTGATTGAAACAGTGAGTGCCGTGGACAAAGACGAAATGGCCCACAGACAACACTTCACCTTCAGCCTGGCCCCAGAGGTCACCCACAACAACAACTTCTCCCTCAAAGATAACAGAGGTAAGATCTCAGTGGAAAGAACAGGGGGCAAACATATGGTTTGGAGAATCTTGGGAACCTAGATTTGATTACAGATGGGATTGATGATTATTGCTTAAATTCAGACATCTATTATTGCAAATCTGCCAAATCAGTGCCTACTTTTTACCTAAGTGTGGGCCTTCTCATTAGATGATGTTGTCCATGTGATTGCAGACAGTACTGCCAGTATCTACGTTCTGCGAAAAGGCTTCAGTCGCCTTACTCAGGATGTGTACTTCCTCCCTATTGAGATCAACGACAACGGTGTCCCAGCTTTGAGCTCCACCAACACACTGACCATCCGCGTGTGCTCCTGTGATGCCCGGGACACCATCCTGTCCTGTAACGTGGAGCCCTACGTCCTGCCCGCTGGCCTCAGTACAGGGGCGCTCATCGCAATCCTGGCGTGCATCGTCATTCTGCTCGGTAACTCCCACTGTCCTGTGTTTGATCTAAGAAATACCTCTTAGCTCTTATGGGCTGATACTTATACATCCTCAAAATATATCATGAATTTTTATGGACTTAGGTTGCAGGTTGCAAGTAGGATGCAGGTTTTTACATTTAGTGTGTTTGTCAGTGCAAACATATCCAAAATGAAAAAACTCTTTTATTTTATTCTATTTTGTGGCAAATAAGTTATATACTGTGGGTATAAATTATTTTCCTCACAGGTATCACTGGGTCATATCATGAAATAAGACAGGATTTCTGTTTTGGCCCTATCTTAGGCTGCATTTGGTCCATTCTGTGATGATTAAGACTTACATTTCAGGTAGAATAAAACCTGTCCTTGTCCTTGTTAGTCTGATGTGATTTTGTTATGCTTCAGCGATCGTGGTTCTGTTTGTGGCCCTGCGGCGTCAGAAGAAGGAGCCTCTGATTGTGTTTGAGGAGGAGGACATCAGGGAGAACATCATCACATATGACGACGAGGGAGGAGGAGAAGAAGACACTGAGGCTTTTGACATTGCCACGCTGCAGGTGAGCAAAGAACTCAGACAGAAGTAGCATCTAGTAGAGCAGTTAAAAACAGGTTAGTGTTTTCCTGGAAACTCTCATCTCTAAACTCATACATAACCCAACCAAGTTCTTCAATTTGGGTTAATTATGATTAGTATCCCCCCATGTATTCCGTAGACTTCTTCAACATTGACATTTGTGTTTTATCTTTCCAGAACCCAGATGGAGCTAATGGCTTTCTGCCCAGAAAGGACATGAAGCCGGAGCTACAGTGCCCCTTGAGACCCGGCATGGGACATCCTGCGCCCAACAGTGTGGATGTGGACGATTTCATCAAGACGCGGATTGCTGAGGCAGACTGTGACCCCACAGCGCCCCCTTATGACTCTATTCAGATCTACGGTTATGAGGGCAGGGGATCCCTGGCTGGATCCCTCAGCTCTCTGGAGTCCGTTACCACAGAGTCTGACTTGGATTATGACTATCTGCAGAGCTGGGGGCCACGCTTCAGGAAACTGGCCGATTTGTACGGGACCAAAGACTGTTCGCTTCCTGACGCTGATGAGGCAGACGACTCTTAACAGTGGACTCCTCAGCAGATGCCCCTGCACATTAGTGATTCCATCAGGATCTGAGCTTAGTTATTTCAACAACAACTAGTGAATGAACGGTTTAGGCAAATTTGTTAATATTTATGATGGTGCATTCATAAACAGAATCTTCACCTTTCCTCTTCCTCTTCCAGGACCTGGGCTAGAAAATAATGTCTGCCATTGTGGTTTAACTTGATTAAAATGACTGAAAGAATTTGGACAACCTTCCTATAAGATGACATTCCTGCGTGCGCAGATGAAATAGATGATTGTGAAACTGTTAGAATGAATTGTCAACCATTGTTGTGTGTCTTGAATAAGCGGATATTATATCTGAATGACAGACTCTGGGTTGTTGATACTTTGAAGACACTGTCTTCACAGTGTGGTGGCCTTATAATAAATCTACAACAATCCCAGAGGCTGAAGGAGAGCATTTGAGAGCACACACCTCCAGGATTGTGTGAAGGCTCCTGAAACCTTTTTTACAATGTGGACACAAGACTGTGTTATCATCCCACACCACATCTGAGAAGAACATTCCCACTGTGTGTCCTCTGTCCAGTCACTCACCAACATGGCACCTCCCACAAATGATCACATCTTCACCTGTTTCACCAATGATCAATCAGTGAAAACCTGTGAGCTGGAAAACGCCTTAAACCTTACGGACACAGTGCATTCTCTTTTGATTTGTTTTTGTAATTTGAGAAGTAAAAATGAAAGATGACTCCAAGTTACAAATGTATGAAACTGAGCTATGTACAGGACATAGAAACAACAGGGCTTCAATCATGACTCAACACAGACAAAGTCCACTCATATGAGTGCCACAATATACTGTACATCTAATAAGCTAAGCAATTTACCATCTGACCATTTCCTTCTCTCTCACCACAGTGCATCCTGTTGTGTTCCTTCACCACCAACAAAAAGGTGTCACTGGCTGTAACAGAAAGTGTATCCAGTGTAAAAAGTAAAATCACTGTGAGAGGGAAGTGTGTGGACCATGTACAGTGGAGGAGCATACACATGAGTAGAAGTCGAAGAAGTTCCTCTGAGTGCTCTGGTCACAATGCCCCATAACAACATGCCACAGTGTATCCTCTGTGGGTGTGGGAGTGTCTTTGGACTGTGTTGAGCCATGACTTTAGCGTCATGTGGGAGACCTGACTCTGGGAAACAGCACACACCTCAGTGTGACGTTCCTCTTTATATAGCCTACTATTCTAATTATTATTGCTGGTATTTTTATTATTGCTATTATTATTATTTTATTTTATTTTTTATCATTTTTACAATAAGAATTGTTTGTATGTTGGCTGCACATAAGACTTTTTGCAGGAAATCTTTAATATCCATGTTGCCATGTGTCACAGTGACAACTATTATATGGGAGGTTTCCTGCATAAAGTCCGTAATTTTTTATTTGTGTGTGTGTGTGTGTGTGTTTGTAATTTGATTTTTGTATGGATTTTGTTTCTTTCTCCAGATCAAACTCAAACCTAGCAGTCAGTGTTTGTTGCAGTGAAAGAACGCCTCATTTGTATTCTGTCACATTTTATGGAAACAATTTGTACAACTTAAAAAGTTCTTATTTTAGTATACATGCAGAATATTCCAGTATTATGACAAACGTGTGAAGAAGATATGAAAGTGACAACATCACACTTATATTTTGGGAACATTGTACTTTTGCTTTACTATGTGCTTCAAACTATGGAGCAAAAAAATCTTTGAAATAAATGCTCTTTTTATAAAATGAATTTCGTGTCTGTGTGAATTAATTAGCCTGGCTCAGTGTGCAGTGACGGGGAGACAGCACAGGTACAAAGGACCATATTTCGGGACAGGTTCATTGGTGGTTTTCAGATTCTACAATGTGGTGATATCACACTCCCAGATGGGGGCAAGAGACAAGTTTTTCCTATAGATTACATTGTACTTTGTACTTTCTCATGAAATATTTAAAAGGTGAATTCACAAATGTTGACCCTGATGATTTCTGTTAGTGACTAAGCACAAGAACACACTGTATTACAACAAAAATCAGCACTTTAAAGCTGTTAATTTTAGTTGTATTTAATAATCTGTATTTAATAATATTGGCCTATAGAATGTTGTATTGTCATCTGAAACCCAGCAATTTACAAATGTGCTTTGTTGGAATTTCTGTGTGGATCTGCGGTGAACACGGTGGTCCTAGACACCATGTCAAAAGGACAGATACTGCCTTCTCTCCTGTTCTCTTTTCTTTTGCATTGTACTGTCACCAAAGGCTTCAACAAACAAGAATGGATGCAAACTTTATTGTCAGGATCACTTCTGTTGCAGAAAAATGTGTTTGTCATTTATTTAAAAATAATTCAATAAATAGTGTAGTGTAGTCAGTCTTAGAAGTCCTTTCAACTATAATGAATTTCCCAGTGGACACACAAAAATGATTTATCTGTCAGCTGCCCAATGTATTAAACCAGGCAAGTCTGAAGAGTGAGACTCTGTGACTGACAGAGCTTGTTAATATGAATTAATGACTGAATTACATTTAGTACTCAACAGCAACTCCAACTCTGGACTATAGACCCTGCACTGAACTATAGAGTCTGCACTAAACTCACACAGGCAGACAGGTCTCTGTGATCTCAAATGGTGTGGAGGAAACAGGATATTATATTAGATATACATTTAGTTATAAATATACTATTGAAAGTCCAGTATATTTTTTGCTTTTTCCTTCTGGCCATTCATTCACATTCATTATTTAAAATACAGCTTAGAGCAGGTGTTTGTAAACAAGGCCACTGGAAAACCAACAGAGTTCAACCATCTTCGATATGTCAGAGGAGCACCACAGATCCCAGGGCTAGAGCATGTTGTCATACACTACACCCATAGTGGGCTTGATGCCTGCTAAGGTATAGCCCTAACCAAGCTTAGCTCACTGCCCATAGTTCATTTGGAGCTGGAAGCACCTCTCTGTCCATGGCCTGATTAGTTTTTAATCATCAAGAGGCTGGAAAGAAACAGGACATATTACTCCAGTCGCTCCCTCCATACCTCGCACACACCTTTCTCATTGTGCCCCTCCAGACTCTTTACTAGAGGGGACAGAGTATTCTCAGGGAGGGCACAGTCAGCCTGCTCCCGCCATGCCCTGTTCTGTCTCCAGCTCTCCCTTGCTTCTGGGGCTGTCTAATTGAAATTGGCACATTTAATTTGGGCTCAAGCCGCTTCATCTGAGTGATGGATGGTGGAGGATGAATATAATTGAACTTTGGAAAAAAACGAGAAAGGAAGCGCCAAGGAGACATCCATTAGCATAACCTGTGTGACTGCTTCATTTATCAGCACTGACCCACACTCACAATATGCACTCCACAAAGAAACATACATTTATTTAAGCCTACCTTATCCATAACTTCAGCAGAATCATAACTTTTCATTTTTGATTGTACAGAATAGTATACAGGCACATAGGTGGTGGTGCTTTGGAGTCTGAACCTTTCTGATTTAGGCCTATCAGTTGAAACTTAAAGGTGCACTATGTTAACTATCTGGAGGAGAGTTTGCCATCTGTTTGTCATGGTTTGTCATGAAATGACAAACCTCGATAACAATATGGCATAAGCTATAACGTGTATATATCTATAGCTATGGAGATAGCAGATGATGATCACACTAAGAATGTATATTATTCAGTAATAAAAGGGTCAATTCACCACATAGCTGTAGTACCTCTGACCCCCATGGAACCAAATCATTTTTTGCAGAAATCATTAGTTTTTTGTACTTAAAGTGTTAAAATGTGATGTGGTGTGACTGTCTGCACTTAACTGCTGATTTTTAAAGTTCTTTAAAATTACTCTAAATCTAATTAAATTTATTTTCTTTTTTTTTTTTTTTTTGGTATTTTTTCTGAAGTGTTTTGTAGTCCCACATGAAATTTCAGCTTTCTTGAATAGATATTACACCTATAATATACAAACAAATATTGTATCAATTATTCTATCTGTGTTAAGGCTGTAAAACCCCTCAGCACAAACTTTATACACTTTTCTCAGACAGGACAGGTGCAACCCTTTTTACTTCCTTCTTAAAACTTGTTGCTGCTGTCGTCCTTGTGTTATTTTCCTCCTTTATGTAACAACCAGAAGATTCACTTATTCCATAATGGAGCCCAACAGCGCAGAGTCCCGCACGGGTCCATTTTTGGAGACCTGCAGTACAACACCGCAACCCCGCAGTACAGGACCGCACCTGCCCGTTAACCTGAGATAATATCAAACTTTTGCGCTGCCTACGCCACGGACTGAACCAAGACTAAACCAGGACTGAAACAGGACTCACCATCAGGACGGGCTCGGAGGTGATGCAGGAGAAAGGACCGGCTCAGCTCCGAACCTCACGGAGTTAAACGCGGCAATTGCCCGATCGCGCTTTGCGGACAAACCGCTCGATGTTTTCTCTCTTAGGTCCAAGATTAGACCTGGTTTAGTCCTGACCCACCCGTGTGTAATTACTACCCGCCTGTAATACACAATATGCGTTCATACTAGGGATGGGCATGATTAATCGATTAATCGATAATTGATCATTAAGAATTTCATCGATTACGTTAATTTTAATCGACAAACCGAATGTAGGTCGCTGTGCGTAGCGTGACCAAACAGGGGTCCGTACATGTAGCTCTCTGTACTCAGGAGCGAGACACAAACAGTCGGTCAAGCACAAATGCGTATCTAACGATGATTTGTACAAGAAATTCCATACTTTCCGTTGCGTTCGGGACAAGTGTGAGTCCATGTGCACAGTGTATAAAGCAGGAACATATGTTTTGGTGTCCAGTGGGAAAAAGTTTTACCAGGTGAGAGTCGCGCAATGTCGCTGACGAGTCCCCACCTCCCACCCCCCGTACGGTGTCCTGGTTTTGACAAACGCAAATCTGGTCACACTAACCTGTATTTCACTGAATCATGTCTTTTAATCCGACAGAAATTGACCGCATCAGCGACACAAGAGCTGTAGTTTTATCTTCGCTTAGTTTATGCAAATTAGCGATGCGGTTTTAAGTTTCGTTTCGGTGAGAGTTACACAAAACTGAATTAAACACTTTATAATCTCAAACGGACTGATGTGGCTCTAGCTTCGTTATGGTTTATATGTCGTAAAGTTGAATTTATTTATGCAGATTAGTAGTGCAGATAGTAATAATAATGATGATCATTTTAATATAAAAAAGTTAATGATTAATCGATAATCGATCGTTAATTCTACCGACGATCGATTAAGAAAATTTCATCGAACGCCCATCCCTAGTTCATACGCTGTAAAAAATTGCACTAAAAAAAAATCAGAGAAACGGTGAGACACCGTAACGACGGTGGAGGGCAGCATTGTGCACTGTAGCATGTAGCCTTTGAAGAAGAAGAAACAAGCAGATTTGTAACGCTCTGTCATCCTCTAATTGTCCTCACCTGCAGTTAATCAAGGACCTGACTACTTGAGACCTGCTCACCTGGGAGACTCTGCCAGAGCTCTACAAGGAACTAGCGGACCTGGGACTTGTAACCTTTTCGCTCAAAGCTATTCTTTCTTCGGATAATAATTTAGTAGATTTAGCTCTGTTAAACTTTCTTCGCCGCTCTGGCCTTTATCTGAGAATATAATATCTTTTAACGACGGTGGAGGGCAGCATTGCGCACTGCAGCGTGTAGCCTGCCGGAAACTATTAGAAGAAGAAGAAGAGACTCTGCCAGATTGTTTTCGTCCTACGCTTTCTACTTACCTTTTTGACATTTTTGACTTACCTGTGCTCTTGCTCTCCAGTGTTCCTTGCCGTCTCCAGCCTGAAACCCAGCCCTGCTCCAGCCCTGCTCCAGTCCTGCCTCCATTTTGTAAAATAAATTCACCTTTTATTTTTACCTGGTCTGCTGTCCATTTTTGGGTCCCTCCACTGCTCAGCCACAACAGAACAATCTGGCCATATGGACCCATCGGACCAGGACCAAAACCCTGTTCTTCAGGCTCTGGCCACACAGGGGGTCAGAGTGGGCCAACATGAACAGCTCCTGAAGCAAGTGACTGAAAGACTCTGTGAATTGTTCGCAAATGTAACTCAACTTACCACTCAACTGAATCAACTCGCTGCTCAGCTCTCACCTGTGCTACCATCAACACCTGTTGGTCAACCTCAACCACCTGCTTCCCCTCCAGTCCAGCCTCCAGTCCAGCCTCCCGTCTCTTCTGCTCGTGAGCCACACATTCCTACTCCAGAGCGCTACTCCGGTGATCTTGGGTCCTGTGGTCAATTCCTCCTCCAGTGCTCCCTAGTGTTCGACCAGCAACCCAACACCTACCATACAGATAAGTCTCGCATCTCATTTTTACTAGGTCTTCTCACTGGTAGAGCTGCACAATGGGTCACTGCTGTTTGGGAATCGGACTCCACCTTATGCCAGTCATACGTTAATTTCACCGCTGAGATGAGGAAAATATTTGACCAACCGCTTAAAGGCAAGGAAGCAGCAAGACGCCTCCTCTCACTCAATCAAGGCTCATCATCTGTTGCCCAATACGCCATAGATTTTCGCATTCTAGCAGCTGAGAGTGGTTGGGACGATACGGCATTACAAGGTGTTTTTATGAGGGGGTTGAGTGATCGAGTAAAAGATGAACTGGCTGCACGTGATGAGACTAACACTCTCGAAAAACTCATTTCCCTTGCCACACCTGTCTTGACAA